AACTGAGGTCCAGGTTTGCATGAAGCTGGATGACGGCATGCCCAGGAGACTACAGGCTGTCATTAAGGCTAAGGGTTGCCCGACTAAGTATTGATAGTTGTGTAAATATTGTCATACTAACAGTTGTCTGAATTATTTTGGTTGATTGTAATCTATTACATACCTTTCTATCAGAATTATCTAGCGTTATCAAGATGAATTTGTTCTGACAGTTTAACTCTGAGTTCTTGTCATATTTTATTACCATTTTCTAAACTATAGCGAATAAACTGTGATAATGTGAGAAATGTTGAAGGTGTCTGAATACATTTTGGTTTGACTGTATCTATTTGATAAATGAAGTTAACCAACTAACATTATACATACCCTTTTGGTTTCTATACCCAATATTTAAAAAATGTACAAATGCAATAAAAATATCGGTATCGGTACTCGGTCGGTATCGGCACCAAAAATAAAAGTATCGGTATCGGGCGAGTACTGGAAAAAGTGGTATCGGTGCATCCCTAATTTAAAGCGAACCTGAAACTAGCGGCCTGTGGGAAATGCGCTATACAAACTCACTTGCCTCTCTCATTCGTCACCAATCCAAATGTGCACGCTTTGTGCTTGACCTTGATTGCTTTATATAAGTCACCTTGGAATATAAATCGCAGCACGTTTCAGATGATAAAAAACGTGATTTATAATCTGGAAAATACAGTACTATATTCATTTCCATAAAAACGTGTGTGGAAAATACAAGAAAGCACTATCTTTGCAATAGGATAAAACATCAAATTATTTCCATGTTTTCCCCACGAAATTACTTAAAAAGCACACTGTCTTTCTCCCGTTCTCTCTCACGCACATTTTTCTTTCTTTCTCCCGCTCTCTTCAGTACAGACACACAGTCGGAAGCATAGACATAATAAATATGTATATGGTTGCATCTTCAGAATCAGAATCAGAATTAGCTTTATTCGCCAGGTGTGTGCAAACACGCGAGCACACGTGGAACAAACACACGCACAGAAGCTTGTCAGCACTGACCGGCACCTTGATCAGTAAAATAGTTTTGCAACTGAAAAGCTACATGACATTTCTCAGTAGCTATGTAGTAATGTCGCAGTTTTTGAAAAATTTAAACTTGCAGATTCACTGTTGGTAGAGATGCTGCCGAAAATGTTGAGAGACGAACATGCAGTACTCTAATTCACGCACAATTTTTCTCTTTTCTTTCATATTTGGGAGTGTTTGACTGACCCTTCTCGCACAAGACATGCAATGCCCACATGTGCATTCAAAGCAAAGCAATAAAGCATAATTTTAAAGGAACAGTCAACTCATTATAAAATGCAGCATTACCGGGGGCACGCTTCAGCTGATATTTTGCTGATATTGCATCAAATTAGTCATTTTGGACCAACAGCCTCATGGGCCGGATGAAAGCGCCTGGCAGGCCGTAGTTTACCCACCTCTGCTATATGGCATTTAACTGGAACAGAGCACTACCCATTAGGCCACTATTCTTTGTTTTGAAAGAAGTCTCTAATGCTAAGGCTATATTTATTTGACCAAATGTAGTAAAAACTGAAATATTACAAGAATGTTAAATAACTGTTTTACATTGTAATGTATTTTAAAGTGTAATTTATTCCTGTGATGGCAAAGCTGAATTTTCAGCAGCCATGACTCCAGTGTCACATGATTCATCAGAAATCATTATAATATGCTAATTTGGTGCCCAAGAAAGTTAGTATGTAACAACTGCTAGGCTCTGACATAAGGAGTGCGTTTACATGGAGCATTGTATTCTGATTACAATCGGTTTAGAAGTCCAATCTGAATGAAAATGCTCCATGTAAACACTTCAATCAGAATAAAATTGCCCAAACCAATTGAAATTTCAATCAGGTTGAGAGGGGTGGGATAAACCTTTTCTAATCCTTTCGATAGGACATATAAACACTTGATCGGATTGAAAACCGAAACTGGAAAGTTTTGCGCATGTGCAGTGACGTAATGGAGCATGACGCACGGAACGAGCCAATGTTGTTTTTGTCGAATATAATAAATGGCTGTTGTGTCGATCTAAAATTCTCTTTCCACTCATCGTCTGTGAAGTGGTGCAGGGTAACATTGTGCCACAAGTGCTTGCTTCGAACTCTCATCTGCAGACGTGTTGTTATGAGCGCGGAAAAGGACGTTTCTACTGCTTGTTTAATATTAGCATCATTGCACAAAGCTTTGTGTGCTTGTCGTCTCCTAATCAGGACCGGAAATAGATAAATGTTAAGTCTTTTTAAAGTCTTAAATGTTTTGTTTTTTTTAAACAAAAAAGGATGGTTAGTAGTACAGAAACTATACTCGTGCAGTGTGAGCATGTCAAAAGATTAAATCCGATTTGAAGCTTGTGACATAAACACGCACATCAACCTGATCACTTTATTTAGCGTTCATGTCAACACTACGTTCGGATTCATCAGTCAGAATGATTTCATTCCGATTGAAACAAAAAGTGTCCATGTGAACGTGGCTACTGAGTCTTAAATTGTACTCTTAACTGAGCGTGTACTTACTATTACCAGTGCTCTCTGACGCCTCTGATGAGCTGGAGATGTTATCAGGGAATTTTTCTTCTGGGGAACTGGGGGAACGGACCACTATTCCATTTCTGTTCAGGACAGGCTCTATAGGTGCTGTGGACTGAGAACTTCTCATCCCACTGCCCTGCACTGACGGCTGCTCCATGACAATCGACTTATTATCCTGTTTAACACAATGGGTTGAATATCAAAAATTCAAGAATCCACCATAATGACAGTATTATCAATAGAAACTGGGTAGGGATGTAACGATTAACTGCGAGCCGGCTGAAAATCGATTCAAATATGTGACGATTCAAATCGGTTGAGATGCTAAACAAATCGCGATTCATTTAGGTGTAGGAGTTTATATGAATGCATGTCTGAGGGGAACTTACTGTCTTTAGAAAAGTTTAGATGGTATTTTTTCTTTTCATCTTGCCTCTGTATAATGCATATTAAAGTTCATAAGTGCAGCGCTCCTTTGTTTACAGCGGAAAGCAAGGAAACGTTTTAAGCGCCACCTGCTGGCAGAGAGTGAATCTGCGTCTCATTCAGCTCGTCTGCTGTTTCATGCAGATATTTTTATGTATAGTTTCACAAAACTGAAGTCAAACCATTCTGTTTTTGCTTCAAATTGAGAAATTATACAATGTAATTTAGATTAAAACGAGGACAATAAAAGCAATCAAAACCAACAAAAGAGCAGTAATATGCAAGTGCTATATTAGTATATTATTATAGTGTTATATTTCAATTTCACAAAGAAATGTGCAGCATTTTGTCCAAGCAATAATAAAAGGACACATTTAATTTATAATTTGTCTTAAATCTCATTTTGTAAAAAAAATAAAAAAATAACCGTGAATCGAATCGAATCGTGAAATCAAAACCGTGAATCGAATCGTGAGTTGAGTGAATCGTTACATCCCTAAAACTGGGCAATGCAAAACTAAAACAATCACGCTACTTTTTGGCCAGCTGATACATGTACTATAATGTGGTCAGAATACATTTTTTACAATCAGTTTAGTTTTTCCGTTGTCCACTTATAATTACAAGGTCTAAAATGGTTACAATTTAGCTAGTTGTACTCAGTTTGTTTAAAATTATCTTATTTCAAAACAAATGAAAAGGAAAAAGGTGATTAATCATATGATCCCTTTTCATTGTTATGTAGAGGCTGAATAGACATATTGCAGACTCACATATCTGACATAGTCTTTCCATTGCTGCCACCACTGCATGGAGATCAGGAACCAGTTCTGACCAGGCTGTAGCCCGTGTCTGCTCTCCCTCTCCAGCCAACCCCTGTGCCATCACACAAAATCAGCGTGGATAACAAACAGTCAGTCAAAGAACTATCATATTTATACACAAGCACCAAAATAACCCAACAAAACACTCCTTCTGTCAAGAGACATCAATGCTAAACTTGGGCAGTTTTGCCAAAGCAATAAAACAGACACACTAATGTGGTACAGTATTTATAGTATCTTTTTGAGCAGCGTCAGTCCCGCTGGAAAATCTAATTGAAAATGAAATTGTGTTCTCAATCTCTGTCCGGACTAAAACACGGTTAGAGGCAGTGGAGGTACGATGGATCCTTATATACAGACAAAGCCTAATCACAAGGCTTATGGGAGAGTGCAATACAATACAGCCCTCATAAGGCTTGTTTCAAAACACTGAGAAAGTGCTCTGTAGGGACGCTTTTGTAACAAAGCCGAGTTACAGACAGTGATAGGGTGAGTAAAGAAATGCCGTGTCCTGATCTCACCTAATGATCTGGCCTTCCTCTTCAGGGGTAGCAGGACGTAGGCCCAGGACGATATGACACACCTGATGACGAACAGATTAACAAGCAATTTCAGGCCAGACCCAAAACAACAACGTATATACTTTATTGGATTCACTCATGTGTACAGATTATAGAAGGAGTTAGACACGTTTTATTTGTTGTTACTTTGTCCAAAAACACTGTAAACAGGATCATACCTGAAACAGCAAGTTGAGGAACTCATTGGCGAGGGCACTTTTCACACTCCATATCTGATAGTCCTCCAGGGTTAAGTGTCCTTGCTGTGAGTAAAACACAAGATAAATGTTAGGCCACAAATGACATACACTCATAATAATGTCCTTAACAAACACTGGATTTAAGAAAAAACTAAAACTTGAGTAAAAAGTTTTTTTAAATTGAGAAATTCTATTTAATTTACATGCCAATGTTACAATTTTATTTGGTAATATTTATATTATATTTATATTAAATATAAATTAAAGATTATATTTTACATTATATTTCTACTAAAATGTAAGATTCTAATACATTTTTAATTAATTTTGCTGTAGTTTCGAAATGCAAAATTTTATTGGAATTGGTATTAACTAATGCATTTTTTAAAATCATGATATGCTATATGCAACATGAAAACAAAAGAGTAATTACTTTTGTTGTGTCATGCATTTTCAGTATGTCCCCTACAATGTCTGAAACGCTGGAATCAAACTCCTGAAACATACAGAAGTCAAGTCAAGTCACCTTTATTTGTATAGCGCTTTATACAATACTGATTGTGTCAAAGAGCTGTACAGTGTCAAACAGGAAAAGAGTTTGTCAACAATGCAAGAAGACAATAACAAAAAAATAATTTTTCCAGCTAATGTCAGTTCATTGATGATTCAGTGATGTCATCATCCAGTTCAGCTCTCTTCCAATAGAAGAGAAGCATAAATCATGAAGTATCATCATGAAATCTAGAACTGACATGAAACGACTCCACTAGATGTAAGAAACATAATGACAGCTCAGGATGCACAAATCAATAATGAATTAATTTGAGTTTAATTTAAATGTATAATTCCACATTAGTGCATACATGCAACAACATGATTGCATCTCATTTGCATTAATCATCTCATAGGCATGGACACATAAACAAAATAATGAATATTAATACTATGTAAGTAATTAGTTCAGCTGTCTCATGTTATTATTGCGGTTTCTGTGGATGTAAACAGGTTAGTTCGATTAGACAATCAGCTGCTCTGCACTTACAGGGAGGGTGTCTGTACGGTTATCCTTCCACACCTCCAGCAACGCCACCACCATCTCGTGGATCTCATCCCTAGACAGAACTCCATCCCGATCTACATCAAACACTTTAAAACAAACTGCAATAGACAAGGAGGAGGAAAATAAAACAGGGATCTAGACAAAAAAATCACTTAAGGAGCCATTGGCTCCTATAGGAAACAAAAATAGGTGTCAAATTGTTTTTTAAGTGCCACAGAATAAACGTGTTTTTATTTATTTATTTATTTTTAAACACCTTAACATTTCAGTCAATCTGTCATGTATTTATGTCTCCCCTCCTTTTACAGCATCAGCATTTTAATCGATACTGTAGATGTCCTGGGAACTAAAGTTCACTTAAATTGGGAACTAAACGTATTTTCCAACTTGAGAACTATATACAGTCACAAAGAATTGTTTATTACACAGAATCTGTGCCAATATCACAGACCATAATTATGTCAGAATCACTTGGTCATTGAGTGTAGTTTGGGCTCCTCCTCAATGCATCCTATAAATGTTGTCATATGTCTTGCGCACATCCAGTCTGTTTTTCTTCATTAGTTAGTATCATGCATTTATATAGGAGGTATTTTTTTTATCTTCAGCTCCTTACATTCTTTCTTATCACATAGACAACAAGTTAAGTAAAACTATGAATATGCAATATAGCGCATAAATTTAGCAAAATGCTCCTCTTTATAGTTATTTTTTTCTAGTAGACTAATGAGCTTATGGGCACCGAATGGTTATTCAGAGGTAAATGCATACATACATGGCATTGTTTACAAGCTTTAAACGTTTTCCGCAATTTGAAACACTGAATGAGCGATTACATGAGACATTTCAGTAAGTTGTACTGTATCTTTTGATGTCCATTCATGTTTATTTCATACTATAGTAGTAAAGGAAAAGATATGATGGGTTCGCGTGCCGCTTGAACTGAGGCGCTAAAGCGATTGCTCATGCCGCATTTAAGAGCACCAAAGCTGTATTTTTTTTGTTTGAATTTCGTTATGAATTTGGCAGAACTTTAAAGCTGATACTTTGTTTATTAAAGTGTAACAGAGCACAAAGCTTATTGAGATTATTGGACAGCAAGTGCGCTACAAATAATATGAAGTTCACGCATTAACAGAACACAGCATATAGACTAAAGATCTTGATAACGAAGCCATATTAGTATCGATTATAAACGAGAATTGTTAACGATATTGTTAATGTCCACACAGCTGACAGCTTTACCTGTTGAAGTTTGTTCAAGTTGTGCACGAAATACACTCTTTTTCTGCACTCTTACTTCGCACATCTCCGTCATTTTTGATCTCTCTCATGCTGCACAACTGGAGCTGCTTTTAGCAAGAGTGCCATCAACGCTGGTGTTTGGCTGAGATGAAGACTGTTTAAAAGTCTTTTTTTTTTTCTCCACACTAAAACTTTGATGTGCATTGTCTCAGTTTATTACGTCAACATAACAAAACATGTCATCGCAAAACAAGCAGCAAAAAAGGCATTACATGCACATTTTTAATTCATATAAGTAAATTTGTATAGCCGCCAGTGGCGATTTCAGCAAAAATATCACTCGCAAATTAATATTTTTTGTCGCAAATGCAACCGTTTTATTTGGAGTCTCGAGCCCTGTAAGATGGGGAACTTTAACATATTCTTCAAAGAAAATCTTTATAATTTGTGCAAAAAATATTAGAAAATTAACTGGGTGAATTTAGAAAACATAATGTGCTAGCTATGAAATAAGCCTCAACAAGCCAAATGATTTTATTCTAAAAATGTTTTCAAATGTTTGAAGAAACACCCACAAAAATCCTGCATCTGCCATGGAATAAGATGAATAACTAAAAGAGGATGATAGAAAATAAAACGCTTACACTTTTGCCTCTCCGCTACAGGGCCCCGACAGCACGCTGAGAGCCCGCAAGATATCTCCTTAAAGTCAATATGATTGTCCCGATTCTCATCAAAGGCATAAAACAAGCCTGGAAAATGGGAGAAATTGTCAGTGTTTAGATTAGCCAGAAAGAGTAATTGGATTCTCTGGAGATCTTTTATCACAAATGTTCCAATAAATTTCAAAAGCAGAGACCCACATCTACCAAAATAAGATGAACCGTGACTTTCCTGGGTACTGCAGATGCTTTCAAAGCATGTGAGTCGCAGGTGGATGTATGTGAGAGTGTTTGTGTGTCTCAGTCCACTGGAGAACCTTTTAAAATTGCTGTAATGAATTTTGTCTTACCTTCACTAAGCGATGTGTGAATAGGGGGCGAGACCAGAGGGACAAAGGTTTCCAAATCAAACCGGCCTGTCCTTGATTGGGCTTTCAGCAGCCAATAACGCTTTTCCAAGTCTATAATGTCTGATTCTTCTACTGCAAGAATGGAAACACAAAAAAATCGGATATTTTTTTTTTTATAATTTATTTTAGTGTGCAGTGTCAAGCATCAGTGGAGCATGTGCTCCTTCTGTAATTGAATATCAGTCCCAAAGTCATTATTTATTCACCCTTATGTTGTTCACCCTCATGTTTACTATACCTGAAAACATTTTTTTTTAAATTAAGTATAAATATCTGATGAAAATGTCAAATATTAGAGAATGCTGAATTTTGCCTTGGCAACTAACAAATAAAAAGAGCTGTAGCTTGAGCATGAATTATTGCTTAAACTAAAATTGTAATAAAAAATAAAGCTAAATAGAAATATTAAAAAAACTATTAAAAATATTAAAAACTAAAAACAATGACAAAAGCACATAAAAACTCAAAATTAAATTAAAATGAAAATGTAAAAATAAAAGCAATTTTAAAATATGAGTACTGTAATATTATATAAAATATTCTGTAATAACACTGCCACAATCGACAATTTCCTCATACAAAGCTATCATATAGTTTCAAAAGACTTGGAATATAGTGTCACACAAGTCATATAGACTCCAGTTTTAGGGGTTAAGTGATTTATGAGTTTGTTATATGGCAAGAACTGTGTTATTATTTACTGCTTTTCGTTTCTACCTGACTGAATTTTCATTGTTTGGATGAAATATTCTTAAAATAGACACAGGAATCATTTTCATAATAAATTAGAAACCACAGCTGTAGCAGACTGTAAGTGGGCTGCGGTGAGTGACATGGACTTTCATTAGATGATTAACATTTATGATGAGTGATTACATAACTATTAAGTGAAAGCATGACACAAGTTGCCCCCTTCGTAACGCCATATATAGTCCAGTCTTTTAGTTTGTTGGGGTTAAGATGACCTAGGTCAACTCTTCTTGCTTGACCATAATCTCTAGCTTAGGCTAATAGGATTGCTCTTGCCCCTCCAACACTGACCATCACACATAAGGCAAGTGTCAAAACACAGGAATACAAATCTGATCTTTTGTTTTAGCCTCCTCCCCTCTCTATTATTCAAAACAAAATACATCTCAGTGAATGCAATCAATAAATAAATAAATAAGCAAACTGATCCATAGAAAAAAAGAAAAAGAAAAAAGAATGTCCTAAGGGTTTCTCGGGACAGGAATAAAAGGCATCTTAATGGAAAGCCTCTGTATTTCCCTGAAACTCCTCCGTTATCTCAGACTCTTGCATCACAGTTAAACCTCTGTGGTTTGATGGACAATTGGGAGTATGATTGGATTGGGTCAATAGTCATTATTTCCCATAGTGCTCTGGGAGAGCAGGTTTACTGTCAGAGGGCCGAAGACTGAAAGACCATAGTTAACAGAAACACAGAAAGCGGTCTGGGGATCTATAGGGGTACGAACCCACCCACCATGAATCACGATCAATGATTCAGTGTTATTTCAGAAGTGGTTAGGAGTGGAAACTAAAGCTATCTTGACACAAAGGAAACTCTAGTCCTAAAACAACATTCCCATCCGAGGTGCATTTAACATACAGCCAAACAACATTTAACAAAAAATCTCCTTCTGGAATGAAGAGTCATTACAGTACACCACGTAATTAATGCAGTGAAGAATTATCATTATTCAGAGCAACATTATTATTATTACTAAAGAACAATAATTAGTTTAGAATAGTCGTTGGGAACTGAATAATTGCTTGAGTGTTATTCACTGTTTGTGTATTGGACAGCGAATACTAATCTAAAACACTTATTATGTGCCATACGGATAAGCAAAGAGCCTTGTTTATCCTGAACGTTTACAGCCTTGATTGCATTGGTACATCTTAATATGAGGCACCATGTGCAGTGCATTTCAAGCTAGCCGTGGCCTATGATATCCTCTTGTCCTGTAACACATTATGGCAGGAGGACATGCATTGTTTCTCTGGCTAGCGTGACGCTGTCAGGCCTCAAAAGTTGTCAAAACCCATTTCCCCCATTACTTGTGCTATTTTCCCATTACTTTTCTTGCTGTCCTGTAACAAGGAACAGAGTGCATACAGCCCATGTCAGAGCAGAAATGACAGGTCTGGACTGAGGGTACACTTTTGTATTTAATATCACAAACATTTGCCATCTCTCTTGGGAGCGGATACCATTTTTGATGCCTTTTCAACATCAAATATTTGAAAAGTATTTGAAATGTGGGAATATGACATTTCACTCTATACTGAAGGGAAAAAACACATAACAGCAATGATAGACCACCAGTTATGCCCACATATTAAAACACTATACAGAATATTTATACTTTTAAAAATGAATTTGTCATTGAACTGTGCCTAAACTTTGATTAAACATTTAATAATTACTAAATATATAAGCGTGTAATGTTTAGAATTTCTATTTTTAAATAAATGCTGTTCTTTTGAAATTTCTATTTATCAAAGAATCCTGAAAATATTTTTTAAAAAAAATTATTCACAGTTTCCACAAATATATTAAGCAGCACAACTGTTTTCAACATTGGTAAAAATAAGAAATATTACTTGTGCACCAAATCAGCATATGATTTCTCATCATCACAATGATTTCTGAAGGATCATGTGACACTGAAGACTGGAATTAATGCTTGATGAAAATTCAGCTGTCATCACAGGAATAAATTACATTTTTTTTTAAAATATTATAAAATAGAAAACAGATATTTTAAACAGAAATTGTTTTACAATATTACTGTTTTACTGTATTTTTGATCAAATGAATACAGCCTAGGTGAGCACAAAATACTTAATTCAAAACCATTAAAAATCAAAAAATCAAACCATGAAGGTTTATGTTTACCATAAAGCCATTTTATTTATATATAGCTAGCATATAGCTTCATATGCATATTATTTGTAAACTACACACCTCCAAATGCCAGTACTCACCTAAAGGAGCGACTCTATCAGAGTGGCAACAGAAGAACCATACCATATTCCACTGCACATGCCACAGCTCTGGCTGTTAGATATGGCGTGTACCATAGCAAACATTATGTTGGCAAAATACAGTTAGTCTCCATCTCCATATGCAATCTAATTCCTTTTCTTTCTCACAGATTACTGTCACCCAGCCTTCACTTTCTTCTTTCTGATAGGCCTCTTGCCTGTTCGCACTTGGACTGGTGTGGGGCATATTCTGGAAGGCGCATGAACCCATAAACCCACATGCACTCACACAGATCATGACTACTCCACACCAACAGCACACACACAGCCCTCTCACTGAGCTAAGAGGATAATCTGGAGTGGGCCGCAGATTACCATGGGTTGCCCAGGTAGCTTCTCTGATTGCTAGAGATGGAGAGCCAAAACTGTCCTTTATTGACAAAGCAAAGCAAACATCTAATTCTAATTTTAATGAGCTATTTGCATAATCTTTTGTTTTGTGTTTTTTGACTTTCTAACTTGTATCTAAGGATACAAGTTATTTTGTCTTGGTGACACAGTGAAAAGAATAAAGCTCAGCCTTGCACATTCATTCTGTAATGGAGAAATATGCTATAGAAAGAATCGATCATGGTCTTACTAATACATAAAAAGGCGCATAAATTGACCTTCCAATAATGACTGTGTATACAGTCAATTGATTAATGATAAAGGCAAACAACTGCTGTGTATGCTGTTTGAAGCAACCTCCAGGCAACTGTTTTAAATCACAAACAGAACAGGCTTGTCGATATTGGTTTGTTCCTGCCCAGTATTAATGGTTGTGATTCAAGCCTACTGAGCTGTCTACCTGCATAGCATTATCAGATCTGAACATCAAATCAATTTTACTTATTTCTACTAAAAATATCCAAACATCCTTGGGAAAAAAAAAAAGAAAGAAAAAAAGATAAATTTACAATGCACACAAGTCTGCTGTCTAGGTAGACAGTTAACCAGGTTTTTGCACAGACAAACAAAGCTACCTAAGTACCCTTTCAATTTAATGCAAAAATAATATTTGGGGAGAGTTTTGAATATGGCTAAAAATGGAAATGTTAAATAGAACGATAACCAGAACAATAGATAGCTAGACAGAAAGCTAGATAGAAAGATTGCTAGAACAATAGATAGCTAGAATGACAGATAGATAGAATGATAGATAGATAGATAAATAGATATAGTCAAAAATAAGATATTAACAACATTATTATTGCTAATAGATTTATTTTAGAACTTATTTTTTCAAATCATTTTTTAAATTCATTTCAGTTAAATTCATTTCATTTATTTATTTATAATGCACAAATAAACACAACAAGAGTTGACCACTGTGCTGTGCAAAAGAGGAAAGGTAAAATAAAAAGAATAATAATAAATATAATACACTAAAACATAAGTTAAAATGAGACCAAGAATTATAATGAATTACATGCAAGAATAAAAAGATGAGACTGTAACTTAGATTTAAAATCATATACAGAAGATGCGGATCTCACAGATAAGGGAAGACTGTTCCATAACCTAGGAATGGCCACCGCAAACGCACGGTCACCTTTCAACTTCAATCTTGATCTTGGATATGACAGAGTAATACTGTCTGAGGATCGCAAACATCTGGCAGACCTATTCACATTTACAAGATCTGACAAATAAGAAGGTGCCAGACCATTTAAAGTAGGGCTGTGCAAAAAATTTTATGCGATTTTCATGCGCATCTCGCCAGTAAAGGCGCTCCTGTGATTAGTAGTAAATCTCCAGCACGTGCTTTCAGATGGAGCGGCATTTACTACACGGAGCCGTAGTTCACTGACAAGCTACGCAAAATCGTGTTCAAAATCGCAGGCAATTCATTGCCGAACGCGATTTAGTGTAGCTTGTCAGTGAACTACGGCTCTGTGTAGTAAATGCCGCTCCATCTGAAAGCACGTGCTGGAGATTTACTACTAATCACAGGAGCGGCTTAAAAATTAAAAAAATTTTTTTTTAAATCCAACTCTATAAACTGGCAACCAGTTTAGAGACATTAGAATCGGAGTAATGTGTTCTCATTTACGAACCCCTGTTAAAAATCTGGCTGCGGCATTTTGAACCATTTGAAGCCATGACATGGAGGATTGGGGTAGTCCAATATACAAGGAGTTACAATAGTCCAAACGTGATAAAAACAAAAGCATGTATGACTCTTTCAAGATCTTTAAAAGATAGAAAAGATCTAACTTTTGACAGAAGTTTAAGATGGAAAAAACATGACTTAAAGGGGTGGTTCATTGCAATTTCACTTTTTTAATGTTAGTTTGTGTGTAATGTTGCTGTTTGAGCATAAACAATATCTGCGAAGTTACGAAGCTGAAAGTTCAATGCAAACGGAGATATCGTCTTTTATAATTCTGGCAGTTTAATGCCTACAAAAACGGCTGGTAGGGACTACAACAAGTTACTTCCCGGCTTCGTGACATCACAAACCCAGATAAACCCCACCCTCGGGAAAAGGCAGCAAAGGGGGCGAGGCCATGCTGCGCTGCTTTAGAGAAGAGGAAGAGAAAACTAGAGGTGCACGTAAAAATCTATTCATATATGAATCGATTAAATATGAATACAGGTAACATTACATCAGTGAGCACGGCCATATTCTATGGCAAGGTAAAGAAGAAAAGGGCAGAACTGGCTCTTCCTGCAGATGAAAAAACTGCTTTGTGAAGTTTCATACATTACAAAGGTGATCTTTCAAGGATTATGGGGGGATGGGCTCATGTTCATAGTCTTCCTCTCATAAGATTGCCTAATGCTGAATTTTCATGAACTGCAATGTTTTTGGTTTTATGTCAATGTTTTATGATACATGATATACAGTATTATATTTGTTTAACTGTATAATATTTGCAATTTAATAATATTCATGAAAAATGTAAT